CGACGCCGCGCGTGACGCCGCCGACGCCCTTGCCCGCCACGCCGACGACGCCCTTGCCGACGCCGAAGCCGGCCTTGCCCACGGCGCCGCCGGCGTGCGCCACGCCCTTGACTCCACCCACGCCGACGCGGCCGACGCCCGCGACGCCGCTGGTGAAGGTGCGGCTGAGGCTGGTGCCCTTGCGCTCGCGGTTGGTGACAAACTCGGGGCGGAAGACGAAGCGCAGCGTCACCTCGCTCTTTTCCGTCGAGCCCTTGCCGACGAGCGGGTAGGTGTGCTCGAACGGCTCAAACGGCTCCAGCACCGACAGATCCACCTGGGCCTGGCCCAGCTTGTCGGGCGTGCCCACCTGGTCCCAGTCGAGCGCCTCGACGATGGCGTCGGCGGCGACGCGCGAGGGCTACGGTGCGGCGGCAGGAAGAGGAAGAAGGACAGCATGCGATCAGCCAACGGCTCCACGGCGATCGTGAAGAAACGCCCCCATGGCAACACTCACCACCTGGAACTCGCCGAGGTTCTCGTTGTAGTCCGGGTTGAGCGTCTTCTTGACCACCTTGGACTTGGCCATGCGCTCGCCGTTGAGGTGGAAGACGACGTAGGGGTCGGAGCGGTTGCCGCGGTCGGCGGCGCGGAGGTTGCGCGCGCGCACGACGTCGACGCGGAGGAAGCCCTGGTTATTGACGCTCTCGACGGGCTCGAGGTGGAGGTCGATGGGGATGTACCTGCACGTCAGCGTGACGCTGGCCACCTGGCTGCCGCTGCCGCCGGCCGACGTGAGGCGGAACTCGTACTCCTGGTCGAGCGTCTTTTCCAGCACGTCCTTTGTCGGCGCGGCAAACTCGGCAAAGACGTCGTCGTCGTCGTCGCCGGTACGCAGCTTGAGCAGGAAGCGCGACCAGTCGAGCTCGCGCACCGTCGACTCGCCCACCTCGTCCCACGTGCAGTGGGCGGTGCGCGCCTGCTCGGTCACGTACGACGGCCAGTAGCCGTCGTCGAAGAGGACCTCGAGGCGCGCGTGCTTCTTGTGCGACGGCAGGCTGCCGCGCAGCACGTTGAACACGATGATGCCCGACTGCTGCGCCAGCAGCTCGTCCTTGGTCATGCTGATGCCGCCCTCGACGACCGACTCGACCGAGGCCGAGGCGGCCGTCTGCGCCGTCTCGGCGGTGCCCGCCGTGGCCACCGATGCCACCGACGGCTTGTCCTTGGTGTGGCCCCGCTTGACGCTGGCCTGGCGGTCGACGCCGTTGGCGGTGCCGTTGACGCCCGTGGTCGGCTTAGCCACCTCCTTGATCCGGGCCGCCTCCTCCTCGTCCGACGACGACGACGACGACGACGATGCCGCCTCATCCTCCTCCTCGATGATGGCGTTGCCGCTCTTGGCGGCGGCCTCGTTGCCGGCGCCGCTGAAGCTGACGCCCTTGAGGTTGACGCCGGGCAGGAACTCGCAGTCGAACTCGATCTCGCCCTTGTACAGGTTGCGGCCGAGGTGGACGCGGTCCTTGCGCGCCTTGCGGCCAGTGCCGGCGTACCTCGACCTGGCGTCGGCGGCCGCCGCCGCCGCCTCGTTTTCGACGGCGAGGTCGGCCACGTTGACCTCGACAGTGCCGAGGCTGCGGTCCTTGCCCGAGTTCTGGTAGTCCATGACCTCGACGGTGATGCGCTCGCGCAGCGAGTGGACGGGGCAGTAGAGGATCTCGTTCCACTCGGGGTTGAGGTTGTTGTTGACGATGGTGCTGCCGCTGACGGCCTGGCCGCGCAGCTTGAGCTGGACGTAGGGGTCCGACTTGCCGCCGGTCATGGCCTCGACGTTCTTGAGGTCGGTGGCGCGCTTGAGCCACACCTTGACGACGCCGATGGCGGGCGTGTAGCCGCCGCCGCCGTTCATGCTGCCGGACATGAGGACGGGCTTCCACTCGGCCGACATGCGCACGCGGCCCTGCTTCGAGTCCTTGAGCGGGAACCAGTCCTGCTGGCGCTGCTTGGCCGCCAGCAGATCCTCGAGGCGGATGCTGACGTGGGCGACGACTGGGTCGCTGCGCAGGTCGCGGTCGTCGAGGATCTCGACGGTGACGACGGCCTTGGAGCGCTCGGTGACGAGGAACTCGGTGGGCATCTCAAAGATGGGGTTGGTGGTGCGCTTCATGACGATCGAGTCCTTGACCTTTTGGCCGTTGAGGCGGATGCGCGCCTTGGGGCACAGCTCGCCGCTGAAGCCGCTGCGCTTGTCGAGCTCCTTGGCCTGGTGCAGCGTGAAGCGGACGACGCCCGACTGGGTCTCGGGCAGCGGTTTGGGCTGGCCGTCTTCGCCCACCTCGGCCTTGAGGACGGGGTAGTAGGAGAGCGAGTACTGGACCTCGCCGCGCTCCTTGCCGTCGAGCATGACGGGCGTGCTGAGGTTCTCCTGCTCCGGGTCGTCCTCGAGCGACTTGAGCTCGAAGGCGGCCTGGCCGAGGTTCGAGTCCGGGCGGTGGTCGTTGTGGTCGAGGAGCGAAAAGGTGAGCATGCCGTTGAGGTTGTTGAGCAGCACGAAGCGCGTCTCCTTGAACTGCGGGCTGGTGGTGCTCTTGCGCACCGACGTCTTGGCCAGCGTGTCCTTGTTGTCGATCGAGAGGGCGACGTAGGGGTCCGGCGTGCCGCCGCCGAGCTTGACGCCCTTGAGGTTGCGCGCGCTCCACACATTGACCTGGAGCACGCCGCACGCCGTGTCGAGGGGCGTGCCGGACATGAGCTCCTCGAGGTTGACGGTGAAGACGTTGGGGTGGTACATCATCGGGCCCAGGTTGGCGTGGATCTGGCCCTGGATAAAGTCCGAGAGGCCCGGGATGTTGCCGATGTCGAAGCCGAGCGTGTTGCCGCCGATGGGCTTGAGGACGTAGTCGATCTTGGGCGGCTCCATGAACGAGACGTCGACCAGCTGGACGTGCGGGAAGCTGCTCATCAGCTTCATCTTGACGCGGATGTTGCCGACAAAGTTGATGTCCTCGAGCAGGATGGGCATCCCGGCGCCCACCAGGCCGCGGCCGACGCGCACATTCAGCACAATCTTGGGATTGATCTTCTGGGCCGCCTGGCGCACCGTCAGGTCGGCCGTGTCGCTGGGCGTGAAGCTAAACTTCCAGTCCATCATGACGACGTCCTCGTCGGTGTTGGGGAAGGTGCGCACGTGGTCGATGCGGGGCGCCTTGGTGCCCAGCGTGAAGGTCGTCATGCGGATCGAGTCGAGGAACGAGGGGCACTGCTGCACCAGGATGCCGTCGACGGTGCCGATGATGGTGGCCGACAGCACGGGCTCGTAGATGAGCCAGAAGCGCGACAGGAAGTGGTTGATCCACTCGGCGGACTCGTGCTCCGAGATCATCTTTTTCTTGGCCAGCTCGCGCGTGATGTCGTCGCGTGCCCGCGTCCGCGTGCGCCGCATGCTGGTGTTGTAGTAGGTCGAGCAAAAGGCGCCGATGATGACGAGCCAGCCGATGCCGCCGCCGAAGCGCGCCACAAAGTAGCTCGAGAGCACGGCGACGACGATGACGGCGGCGTTCCACCAGAAGTAGCCGTAGTAGGCGTCGCTGAGGAACGTCGAGATGAGGTCGAGGCGCGCCTCTTCGTCCTCGGAGACGACCTTGTTGGGCTCGAGGCCGCGGAGGTGGCGCGAGACGCCCGTCCAACCCACCTGGTACCAGTCCGGCAGCGTGCTGGTGGCCTGGCCGACGGGCATGGCGCCGGGCGCGTCGTGCTCCTGGCGGTTGAGGCGCTCAACGTCGTCGTCGAGGTTGGTCGTGACCTTGACCTTTTTGCCGCCAATGTCCGACGCCATGGCGTGGCCGGCATCGTCGTCGTGCCTGCCCAGGCCCTTTGCCGGGCGCACCTTGTTGATGGCCTTGGCCGCCTCGGCCGCCTTTTGCTCGGGCGTGGCGTCCTCGGCAAACTCCATGACCCTGGCGCCCTTGGCGGCGTTTTGCTGGAGTTGCGCCGAGAGGGCCAGCTCCTCGCGCTGGTCCTGCACGTGTGCCGCCTCGAGCTGCGCCTGCGAGGGCTCGGCGGCGGTGGCGGCGGTGGCCGCAGCCGCCTCGGCGCCGTTGGCGTGGTCCTTTGAAAAGATGTTGGCCACCATGTCGGGCGGCCGCGTCGGTCGGCGTGCGGTGTGCGGTGTGCGGGGTGTCGAGGCCGTGGGCCGAGGTTGGAAGTGGTCGTGAAGGCAGTCGGGGATGTGCTGGGTTTGGCGGGATCGACCAGGCTTCAGCGGGTCATTGAGGGGCTCAGCGTTGTGGGCGGTGCGGGATGGTCCGATCGCCGTGGACGCTGGTGTCGAGACGGAGGGGGGGATGTATGCAGTCAGCGGTTGGCCGGTGCAGTCGATGCGCGGCGGAAGCGAAGCCGTGCGTGTTTGAAGGCGGGCGGAGGGGAGGAAGGGGCGGGGCGGGGGCGGGCCGGAAGGTTGGTGTTTCGAGGTCGAGGAGATGGAGGAGGGGAGACAAGGTGAGAGCTGAGGGCGCCGCACAGCTTGAGGAAGACGTAGCGTTGGTCAAGGTCAGCCCTGCCCAGCCAGCCCAGGCCCAGGCCGACCAAGCAAGAGAGACCAGCCGCATGGCCCATCGCGACGTCGGCCGGCCACCTCGGCAGCATCCACGCCCACGCTCGCGCACGCGCACGCATTCACCGTGCATCGACGTGCGTCCTATGACGAGCCCTAGCCTCGGCCTCATCCACGCCAGGCCAGGCCAGGCCAATGCGCCGACCGTTGCCAGCGGCGGGGGGGTGGATGGGTGCTCACCACAGCCCGCAGCAGCATCCGCCAGCGGTGCACCAGCTAGAGCCGGCGTAGCAAGCAAGGCGTCGGTCGATGTGGGCAGCCTGGCCAGCTGGCCACCTTGCCGATGCCGAGCCAGGCAAGTCGCCTTTCGCTGCAATGCCGCGTGCGCACGGACGTCGCCAGGGCCGCCGAGGAAGAATAAGACAATAATTTCCTCTCCCCCGAGATCCGGTGGCCAGCAACCAGGCAGCAGCATGCCTTTGGCCGGGCGCAGCGTCGTCGAGGCAGCAGCAGCTCGCACGGCAGAGGCGAGGGAGGAGCTGTCAACAAGGCTTGATTCAGAGCCTCTGTGATGCAAGACCAACTGTGAGCCCCCTGGCCTGCACCTAGCTGACTGCTCCTCCCGGCCATCAGCCTAGTCAAGAGTGGAACGCAAGCAGGTGGCCCAGCCTGCAACCAGCTTGTCCGTACCAGCACTGGATGTGGACCTCAGTGCAGCACAGCCTGAGCATGATGCAGCTCTTCTACCGCCTTTCATGTAGTTCGGGAGGCGATACGATTGCCATGGACATCTTCGGTCGAGAAGAGGTGTGCCTCCCTCTTGCCTTTCCCTGGAGCATGAGGCGGAATACCTCCATGTCGTATCTCGGGCAGCTGCGCCCATCGACGTCCCTGACGCCGTCTCGAGCGACCCGGTACGGCGCCATAGTCGGCCTGCTGGCCTCGATTCTATCTAGGCCGACGGCGCGCCACCCAGCGCCTGTTCTGTGGCGGCTCCTACGTCCCGTCCTGCAGCAACCGCCTTCCCGCGTGTGCCTACCCGGCCGTCGAATCTAAGCGCCCGCCAACTCCTTCTGGTTCTCGGCCAGCGTGTACTTGTCGGCTTCCTCTTTGAGGCTCCGCAGCGCCTCGGTGCACAGCTGGACGCGGTGGCTGGCGTTGGAGAGCTCGAGCTGCGCGTCGCGCTGGTCCCACTGCGCCGCCCGGATCGCCTGCCGCTTGGGCCCGCACGTAAAGTCGACGAGAAACTGGCGCCGTGCCGCCTCGAGCGCCGCCAGCTCGCGGTCAATGTCGGGCGTGTGCTTGATGGCGAAGGAGAAGTGGTGCGTCGCTGCCGTGGCCGCCGTGGGTGTGGATGCCGGGCGCTGGTGATGCTGCGCGTGCGCGTGGACGTGGGCGTGTTGCGAGCGCAGCGGCGTCGAAGGCGACTGCCCGGATTCTCTGGGCGTCCCGCTCGAGGTGCGCACCGTGCCGCTGTACGGGTTGACAATCTCCTGCGACGAGTCGTCCTTCGGCTGCCGGTGGG